TCTTCTTCCACTTCTTCCTCCTTTTCTTTTTTCCCCACCATCACCATTACCACCAATTCCTCCTCTTTCATTAGGATCTCCACCACCACCACCACCTCCTCCTCCTCCCCCCCCCCCCCCCAACTCCTCCTCTTTCTCCTCCTCCTCAAATGTATCCGTATCCGTACGCTTTTTTTGCTAACCATTCCTGATTCATCCTACTCTACAGGCCTCAGTGATCGGACTAGACATTCCGACGTGACATCTACTCTCCACTCTTCACGTTTGTGCCTTACCTTGTCTCAGCATCACCAATCAGATCATCGGGGATCCAGGGACGCAGGTCGTCATTCTCGTGCTAATTGACAGCAAAATTTGACAGGAACAAGCAGGTGGCCCTCGATTTCAAGCGAGACAGTGAAACCTTCAGGGTTCAACTCATCCGACGACGAGGTATCTCCTCCTCCTTCTTCCTTCCACCTTGTCCTCCTCCTCCTCCTCCTCTCCCTCAGTCTCTTTCTTCGCCTTGCTTTCCTCCTCCTTTGCCTTTCCTCTCTCAATTGCTCCTCTTCCCCTATCTTTCTATTGCTCTACATGTCATTCCTTCCCGTCCTCTCCTCTTCCTCCTTCCCCTCCTCCGTCCACCTTCGCTCTCGCCGCATCTCTCTCACTCGTGCTGCCTCAGGTGTCACGGCAACCCCTCCCTTCGGGCCCAACACGAATGGTTTCCCCCCCCGCCCTTCTTTCTTCATCGCCGTCATCCTCTTCTGCCTCTCCTCCTGAGTTGTCATCCATTCCTCCTTAATTGCCCCTCCTTCCCTCCGCTCCTCGCCCCGCCCTCCTTCCTCTCACTCCCCTCCCTGCCTCCCATTCTTCAAACTTTCACATCTCCAGTCACATCTCCAGCAGGGTATCAGCTGGCCTCTCCTCCTCCCCTCTCAGACACCAACGGAGTTCGACTGTCAGTTTCTCCTCCCAACTCCGGCGAAGGCCAAGGAATCCTTACCACCTGAAGAGAGAAGGATGGCAAAAGACAGGGGTAGACATGCAGACAGACATGGAGACAGAGAAAAAGACACAGGCAGAGACAGGAAAAGATGAAAACAGAGTTGTTTCAACTTCCGTCATTCTCGTGAAATTAGCGCTTTACTCGTCAAAAATCAAATCTACCATTACCCTCTCAAACAATCTTCTCGTCCCTTCCACCATCATCTCGTCTGCTCTCATGCACAACAGACCCTCAACCTCTCCCTCCTCCATCTCCTCCGCTCTCTTCTTACATGTCCGCCTTGGGGTGGGAGTGCAGAGGGCAGTGCCATTGGTCAGCCATGCTCTTGGGCGAGTAGAAGGACAGGCTCGATTTCTCATGGTCAGGTCCCATCGTGAAAGTCTTGTCGTTCAGCCCTCGGAAAACTTCGTTCAGCCTGCAGAGGTTGTCCCGAGGATGCGAAACCACGGAGCTGATGTCTACCGCCCCGAGCTCCTCTAGCTCCCGCTCCACCTCCTGCGAGCTCTTGTCCTCGTTCGCTTCCTCGTTTCCCCGCAGAGGCATGGCAGTCTCGTGCAGATGGTTTGAGATAGTTCGATCCCAGGACTTACAGGGGCACATGTCCCCGAAGGGACAGTCTTGCTTGACTCCGGACATGTCAGCGACGCCTTGGTTCATGTTGGGGCATCGAAGCTCATTCACAAACGCGGAGGAGGAGGCAAGACAGACTAGAAGCACTGAAAGCAAGGTTGTACATTGAACTTTCATCGTGCTGTGCTTGAAATATCAAGACGATCCTGGAGGCGGGTGTCCTAGCGCTGCAACAGGGATGTGAAGAAGGTCGATTTCGGCAAAAAAGGATCTCGTAAGAGGAGGAGGGTACACCTTGCAGGAGGCAGAGGAGAAGTGCGAGGAAGGAGGATCAATGGTGACTGAGGACAGAGGAGGAGGGTGGAGTGCCAGGAGGAGGGGAAAGGGGGGGGGGGGGGGGGGCGGGAGGAGGAGTGGAGGAAGTTGGGACAGGAGGAGGAGGAGGAGGAAGGGAACGAAAGGACAAAACCATTCCATTTTACACCATGAATAAACTGGAAAACAATACATTGCAATAAAAATTCAATAAAATTCACGATTCGGTGTGGTGGTCAACAGTATTTTATGATCATTTTATGGATTGGAAACTGTCACTTTGCACCGACATCCGCCCCTCAAAACCGAAAACATTTACTGTAGTAAATCACTCAGTACTTTTCTGTCGTTTGGAAGTATTTCACATTAAACTATAAATATTGCCCCAAGATTTTATAGTTTATGTTCAAAATTTAATGTATTTATTTGCAGCCGTAGGTAAAGAAACGTATCTCCCCTGCTGACCTCCTTCCCATGGTTTTGTAAATCGAGGGTAGGGGTCGTCATACTCAAAAGACTACCCCTTTTATCCATATTAAAAAGGGGGGTATTTCTAGAACTAGGCAATACACCGGGTCAAAGGGGGTGGGTAGTTCCGCCGTATCACAGCTGCTACTGCCTTCTTCAGGCTGCTCCCCTCATCCCCTGGCACCTAATATACCTAAGTTCACCGGGTGACGGGGGCCAGCGCGGCGGGTGACCCGGCACCGCCGATCGGATCGGACCGTCCGCCGGTCCGGGCCTGCCACCGTCACCCGGTGCCGGTGGCCAGTGACCGTACCGTACACCCGGGGCGTCAGTGTGGCAACTTCCGAGTTCCGTTTCAAGTTGATCCAAAACGGTTCAACGGTTTACGGACTGGCCGCTTGACACTCAGTGACCGTGCCTGGCACCGTGCGGCCCGGCCGGCAACTTGTACCGTGACGGTGAGGGCCACTCAGTGACGCGGCCCGACTCGGAACTCAGTTCAAGTTAATACTATGAATTGATCGGACTTGAAAGCCTTGAACTTGCCGACCGTCACGGTCGCCGCAGTGAAACTTTGGAAAAAATAAAGTTGAAACTTTTGGAGTTCACTCGTCGGACCCATAACTTAGTAAAGTTCTGACAGTGATCATTTGAACTTCCGAATCTCCCGCCATAAAGCCCCTCCCGCCCTCCCTCCTCGTCTCCATCCCTGCTCCATCCCCCAAGAACAAGCCGACTAGACGAGCCATCAGGTCACCAACACGCCAGCATGTCGGACTGCGCTCCACTACTTGCACTGTTAGAGCTCTCCAATGCCATCAGGTCTGGCCAGAAGATCCCTCCGAAGAAGAAAGAGACGACCAAGGGACCGATCGAGAGCATCATCGATGACATGAAGAAACACCCCGACGATCCCGAGAGGCTCGACGATGGGATTGCTATGCTCTCCGGCTATGCTCTCGTCCCCCACAACAACAACGTGCTGGTGAAGTGCGGAGGGGTCGAGGTGATCATCGGCGCCATGAAGAAGCATATCGAGGAGACGATGCTTGTCATGTCCTGCCTTGGAGTTCTTCAAAACGTCGCCGTCAACCCCAACCACTGGCAGAGACTGCGCGAGGCCGGGGTAGTCAAATCTTCAATGCTCGTCGTGAAGCACCACAAGTCGTTCGATGCCATTCAAGCCATCGGCGCGTTCTTGTTCCACACTCTAGCGCGAGATGAGGAGTTCCGCAAGTCCCTCGCCAAGAATGGCGCGATCGAGGCGGTTGCTACGGGCATGCAGCTGCACAAGACCTTCTCCGAGATGCAGATGCAAGGTTGTCTTGCCCTCAATCGCTTTGCCAGCGACGTCGCGCTCTTCCCCAAGATCTTCAGAGCCAAGGGCGTTGCTGCGCTCTTCGACATCTTGGAGCATCATCCTCAGAACATGAGCCTTGTCACGCCTGCCTTCCAGCTCCTCGTCGAGCTCTCCTCCAAATGCAAAGTCTCCGATCGCCCGGAGTTTAACGAGCAAGCCAACGTCAAGGTGCTTGGCAAGATGGTAAGGAGCAACAAGGGCATCCTCCAGTATGCCTGCTTCCTGCTCAAGAACCTGGCGTTCAGTGCCCCGGAGAAAGTGCTGAGAGATGGAGGAGCAGACGCGCTAGTCTACTGCATGAAGACCAACAGAACAGAGATGGACCTGCAGATGATGTGCTGCCATGGCTTGCGTGACGTGGTCAGCTCGTGCAAGGACTTGCAAGAGAACATGCAGACGAGCAAGAGCATGGTGATGGAGCTGCTGTCCCGCGTCGAGAGAGACTACAAGGACTTTGAGTATCTTCGTGTCCTTGCAAGCGATATTCTGAATCTCCTCGAAGATGCAGCCTGATACCTTGGGCCCCCGCCACTAGCTACCGGCCGTCACTCGGCCGGCCAGACGGTTTCTCAGGCCCGGGTCAGGCGAGTAACTGAAGTTGCCCAGCTGGCAGCTCAGCCGCCGTCGCGACGTGAGCAGAGCCGTCGGTGAACTTGAAAGTGAGTGCCGTGACCGGGTGGTGGAACTCGAGACTGTCAGGTTCACGAGTGACTTGGGGAGGCCGCTGAGTCACTCGGAAGCTGCTGGACCTCACCCGGGGACTTGACAGTCCTGATTGTGACATTATCATATAAACAAGAATGAAAGTTGAAAGTTGAAAAGGCTTGCGGCCAGCCAGTCAAGATTAACATCTTTTCATCAGGGTCGCACTGCCGGGTAAGATCCGACCCGAGCCCGAGCTGCATTCAAGCTGAAGTTCTGAAGCTCGGGCAGGGGGGAACAGCCTGGTAGTCGGAGGGTCAGAAGGTCAGCTGTCACTGCCCTCGGGATGGCGAGAATGCCATGATGGCGCCGAGGAAACTCAACCGAGGGGTCGATGTGACGACTGAGTCCGGAGGGGAGCCTCGGCTCTGCTGGAACCCGGGTAGAACGCGTAGATCAGTCAGCTTGCAGGCTGCCAGTCCGGATGAAACGAAACTCCTTGTACTGTCAGAGCAAGGCTGTGAGGGCACTACCGTACCGTGCTGAGATTTTCTCATAGCCATGTGGAAGGAGTCAGGTCTGGAAGGAACTCGAACTATCAGTGAGATGAAATGGCACTCGAGTAGCACTGAAGTGTAGCCTGGATATTGAAGACACAGTCTGATAGGAATGATCATTTCAGCTGATGAAGTACTGCCTGTCCCTTCAGTGCTACTCGCCGACATTGATGAAGATGATAATACAGATGAACGCAGCCTTGCTGCAGCTGCAGGAGCTGATGTAGAAGAAGATGAAAGTGGTGTTGGTGACTTCGCGGAAGGTAAATTCAGGGCACGCCAAGTCTTTTGCTTCCTCGTTGTGCCAGTGCAAGGGCTGCGATAATATCTCCAGTCTCCAACGAGGTACATATGATGCAGTAGGTTTGACAGTTTGCAGGAAACAATGAAAGAATGATGCAAGGAAACCATTGTATCTCCTGCCTTATGGCAACACTTTATTACATGCTTACATGAAAAGCGATCAACTTGACAAAGAATCAGACGGTGTCCCGTCACCCCACTGACTTTCTCCGCCCCTGGCAGAGAGCATGCTGTCCCTGTCACGCGCAGAGAGCAGCAGCACATCCCCAACGTCCCATCGAGGGACTTGTGAGCCTCGACGGACTTACATGTTGAGCTTCTTGGGAGTCTCCCAGGTGAAGTCCGGATCGTTGCGGCCGAAGTGGCCGAAGGAAGCGGTCTTGGTGTAGACGGGGCGCTTGAGGTTGAGCTCCTTGATGATGGCGAAGGGGCGGAGATCGAAGTTCTTCTCCACGATAGCGAGGATCTCCGAGTCCGGCTTGGTGCCAGTGCCGTAGGTGTTGACGTAGAGGGAGAGGGGCTTGGCGACGCCGATGGCGTAGGCCACCTGCACGATGCACCTCTGCGCAAGGCCAGCGGCAACGATGGACTTGGCGACCCAGCGAGCAGCATAAGCAGCAGAGCGATCAACCTTGGTGGGGTCCTTGCCAGAGAAGGCTCCTCCTCCGTGAGCTCCCCAGCCACCGTAGGAGTCGACGATGATCTTACGTCCGGTAAGACCAGCATCACCCTGGGGTCCTCCGATGACAAAGCGGCCGGAAGGGTTGAGATGGATGGCGGTCTTATCGTCGATCATGCCGGCAGGGATCACGGTGTCGATGACGTGCTTGCGCAGGTCGGCGCGGATCTTCTCGTTGGTGAGAGTCTTGCCGTTGGGAGTTCCGTCCTCGGTCTCAGCGTGCTGAGTGGAGATGAGGAGGGCAGAGACGCGCTTGGGGATGGTCTTGCCGTTCTCCTCCTCGTACTCGATGGTGACCTGGGTCTTGCCATCGGGGCGGAGGTAGGGGAGGGTCTTGTTGTTCCTCACCTCAGAGAGCTTGGCAGCAAGCTTGGTGGCGAGAAGGTGAGACATGGGGTGGAGCTCAGGAGTCTCGTTGGTGGCATAGCCGAACATGAGACCCTGGTCACCAGCGCCCAAGTCCTCCTCGGACTTGCCCTCGTGAACACCCTGGGCGATATCAGGGGACTGCTGCTCGATGGCAACGAGCACGTTGCAGGTCTGATAGTCAAATCCCTTGGAAGAGTCGTCGAAGCCAATGCTCTTGACGGCGTTACGGACGATAGTCTGGTAGTCGAGGTTGGCCTTGGTGGTGATCTCACCAAAGACCATGACCATGCCAGTCTTGGAGGCCGTCTCGCAAGCCACCTTAGAGTTGGGGTCCTGAGCAAGGCAGGCATCGAGGACAGAGTCCGAGACGATGTCGCAGAGCTTGTCAGGGTGACCCTCAGTCACAGACTCAGAGGAGAAGTGGTACGTCACTGGCATCGCGTGCTTCCTTGCCTTGCCCTTGCTTGCTTCCCCCCTATATCGCCTCCTCCCCTCCCCCCCTACCCCTACCCCTCACTGGGTACCCCTGACCCCTGGATAAGTACGTCACCCCGTCTATAGTTTTCTTCACCCCTTCATTCCTCCTTCACCCCCTCTTCGACCTCAAAAGTACCCACCTTAACCATGCCTCTAAGCATTGTTTATACAGAACACCCCACCCCTTTGTAGACTACCCTACCATATGACTGAAGGCTCCAAAGTGTACCCACCATTTCATGACGTACGGTGACCCTCACCTAGCCAATAAAACTCTGAGGTCTAGCAAAGGGTCCAGGGTACCCCCCTTTTGATCTAGGAAGGATGCGTTGACCCAATGAAAGTCTAAAACACTTTTTTATTTTAAAAGTCTCAAATATTGGGGTACATCAAGGGTAGCGTACATCAATACACCGACTCATATCAAAACATTCTCATTCATTCTCCTACAAAATTGAATATTTAGAGTATTTATTCATAAAACCAGTTCTCGGGTAGGCTGCTCTTGACCACCTCACCTGGTACTTCGTCGTGTTTTTAAAGATCTAATAAACACTACCATGAGTGATCTTTGTTGCTGTATCACAATATTTCCTCTACAAAACAATAACTTATATTTAAATTGTACCTGCCTTATCGAAGATAAATTACTTTTTCAAAGGCCGTAAGCACGTACAAGGCTGGGTCAACGACTTACCCCACCATTCATTTTTCCCCCTCACGTGCTACCTTCGAAGAGCATAAACTTCACCTGCTTATAAGGGGTAGGGGTGGTTTAGACCCACCCCCCTTTGAAACATGGACATTGACCCCTATTGCCTAAGTACCCCACCTACTTTTCCTACCCTCAAGTACCCCCACTATCTTCCTTTACAACCATCCCCTACACCCGCTGCCAAGTTTTCTCAAAGTTTGATATAATTATACAATTTCAATGAAAATATTGAATATTAATAGTAAATATTTCAATATGACTTTGACAGAATAGGTTCTCTGTTGTACTTGCAGTCAATACCACCCCCGTGTCTATTCTTTTTTTGTGTTTACACCGCGGTTTAAATTTAGGGGCTGCTTTCCATATCTACCCTACCTACTGAAATAATAAAGTACCCTACCCCTCAAGAAAAATCACAATGAAATCGACCAAGTAAATTGGTACCATCACACCAATACGATTATTCAATTGTGTCTATATCAAAAATGGCTCATCTTTATATGTATGTGCTCTATGTAGTACCCTATTGACATGACTACCATGTAGATAATATCACCCCACCAAGATTATTTTCCTTTTATGCCCTCCCACCCGACCCAGGCCAATGATGTTGGCGCCTGCGGGATGTGGCAAGTCCTCATACCGTCCGCACATTTTCCGACCACACCATCCTGAGGGCGTCACGTGCGCCGCCGAGAGTCTCAGCCGGACTCTCCCGGGGCCGGGTGCGATGACTGGGCCAGTGGGCCGGTTCAAACGTTGAACTTCGGAACCTTCTTCGCCGCCGGCCGAGTACTACGTTCGGAAACAGGGCAGCCCGGCGGCCGGCCCGGCGCACTGCGGCACTGAGTGCGCCTGCCGGCCGCCGCCAGTGAACGGTGCCGGCTCACTGCTGGCAGGCCAGTGCGCGGCGCGGCAGGCGGCGCGGGTGTGGGACTTCACCGACTCCGAGGCCGGGCCCGCGCAAGATTGGAGAGCGTACCTCGTTGGGGGGGACCCTGAGCATCCACATCTACCAACTTCGGCTGCGATGCAGGGGAGAGCACAACTTCGGCAACAGCTTTCAAGCCCACGCACAATCAGCATGCGAGATGTACGACCTGAATTAGACACGTCAGAAGAGTCAGACAGTGAAACTTTGATGGAGAGACCTTGGACAGTTGCAGCAGCTCCGATGACGAGCTGATGACTACTGACAACACTCCATTAGAACCTGCAAGACAATTCACGACGGAAGAGATTCAACAGCAAACCAAGGAGTATCTCAACGACCCAAGATCATTTACAGATTTTCAAGGACGACTTCACAAACACAACGATCGAAGAACTTGACGAAAACGACCCCGGCGCGGCCGCCCGGTGCCGGACGGCGCCGGGCCCGGTCACGGTTCACCGGAGTGACTGAGTCAACGGTTGGCTGGCCCTGTGGCTCGGGGACACTGCCGGGCCCCGGCCCGGACTCAGTCCGACTGGTGACCGCCGTTGAACGGGCCGGGCCGCCCGCCAGCGTAAACATCCGGGCTTGCCGTGTGGCCGGCGGCAGCCCCGGCGGGCCCGGGCTTCTGAGGGCCGGCGGCGGGTCACCGGGTCACCGGCGGGCCCATGCCGGCCCGGCGCTGGGGCCCTGCCCGGCAGCCCGGGCCGCCGGCCGCCCGCCGGGAGTCCGGCCCGATCGGCCCGGCCGGGCCGGAGGCTCCTCGCCGTGTGCCCGGCGGGCGGCCGCGATGCCATCATCGGATGGCTTGTGGTGCGGCGGTCAGTGGGTGACCGTACCGTACCGCCGAGACTCAGCCGCCAGTGAACGGTTCTCCGACCGGTTCACTGTCACGCCCAACCGTGAACGGCCCAACGGTTGGCGGCAACCGGCCCGGTTGTCGGGCCACGGCCGGGTGCCGCCCGCCGGCCACCGCTCCGGGTTCTCAAGACCGTTACTACCAGCGGTTACAATTCAAAACTTCAACAGAACTGAGAAAGCATACCAGCAGGTACTTCCATTTCATAGTTTCGGGATATCAATTGATTTTGTTCCCTAAAATTTGGAATTTATTCAAAATTGTCCCATAATACTTGAAAACTGACAAAAGAAGTTCGCTTTAGCAAAAGCAAGAAGAGACCCACACCGCTCTTTTAACCAAATTTAGCCTAGTAGGCTGGGATCTACGACTTCGAGGTCCGCCATGTGGTTTGACTGAGAGGAAACGAATGAATGTGGCTGTTGCCCCGAGAGGAGGAGGGAGAAGAGGAGGAGGAGGAGGAGGAGGAGGAGGAGTAAGCAGAGAGATCGGAGATTGGACTCATACAAGGAGGAAAGGCTGAGTGACCGAGGCTCTAAAATGAAGCGAGTGGAGAAGACCCTTTGGGGATGATGACTAGTGATGAGAAATAGAACAAGGTAGATGAGATAGTGGAAGGAAGGAGGGACAAGATGAAGGAAAGCAAACTGACTGAGCATATGAATAAGGGGAAGAATGGTGAAGACCAGATCAAGACACGACATTCAGAGACAGGAGAGAAAGTCCGTACTACATTCAGAAGCTCCACGGGTGAAGGAAGGAGTGAGGAAGTAAGGGAAGAAGAGTACTCCTAGTTTCTTGTGATCATTTCTCAAACGGCATCTACAATGCTAGGCAGGACTCGTAGATTGTAGTAGATGGGAGATAATTGGTAATCGTTGAGTCTAGTTCGTCACTTTGATCTCATCGGCTCCTTCAAGCTCTGCAGGTGGATGGCGCTTGTTTGACTGACCAACTAGTTCGTCTGGGAGCATGCAGCATCCGGGGTATGCCTTGCCTTGCTCCCTCGACTCGAGCTGACGCTGCTGCTCTTGCCAGCTTCGGAATGAGGATGCAGATGTATCCTCCTCCTATGGCAGACTCCCCCGTCCACCATGCTACCATCGCCAGCCTCCCTCCAACCAACGGATCGGCGCGACCAATGTCGATGCCGATGCCCGCAGGCAGCCCCTACGTTGGGAATGAGAGGAGGAACAACATGCCAGTTCCTCCTGGAAACTTCACTGGGAGACCCGAGCACAGGTCGTACATGATGGTCAACAGCACAAACAAAGAGCTTCTGACCGCCCCAAGTCACAATCCCCGTCTTCCTCCTCGCCATCCCTCTTCCTCCAGTGTTCCTCCCTTCGCAGCTCCGGAGCGGGGAATGGTCGCAAACTCCTTGACGAACCTCCCGGGCTCGAGGAACGGCGAGTGGCCGCAGACACCGCGAGAAGAGGCTGTGCAGGCCTACCAGTTGGGAGGGAAGGCAAACTCCGTATCCGACGAGCTCGCCAGCCTCAACCTTGACATCCCCGACGACCAGTGGTACGAGCCCGGCATAGAAGGCCTGCCCGCCGCCAACAACTCGGCTCTCTCTCCTCGAAGCGTCTCCTCGAGCCAGCAAGAACGAGGCCCAGGGCTCTCCGCCGCCGCTCGCAAGGCGCAGCAGAAGGCGTACAACGAGCTTGCGAGGCTGGCGATGACGATCAACGACGAGGAGTCGCCAATGATCTGTGGGGTAGGGATCAGCTTCCTTCAGGAGAACGGCAGGATTTTCATCAGGTCGATCCAGGAAGGAAGTCCTGCGGCAGAGACAGGCATCCTTGATGTGGGGGACCAGCTCTGTCTCATCGATCACACCAGCATCGACGGCCTGTCAGTCATAGCGGCTGAGGACAAGCTGTACGGGGAGGAGAACTCTGTGGTGATCCTTTCGGTGCTGAAGCAGGGGGAGGACAGGCTGACGCATGCGACTCTGGTTCGATCCTCCGGCCAGAAGGAGCGGAACGAGAAGAAGCGCAAAGAGATCTACGACGTGGGCATCTCCTTCTCAGTCTCCCCCAGCAGGCAGGTTGTCATCACCGAGCTAGCGGCCGGAGGGCCCGCGGACAAGCTGGGCTTCATCAGCGTGGGGGACGTGATCCTGGCCATCGACGAGGAGCCGCTGCCGCAGGGGGAGCAGGTGGACGTGACCGCGTTCGTCAACGCCAGGATCTGCGGGCCCAAGGGATCGCCAGTGGTCCTGACGCTAGTGAAGCCGGGGTTGGGGATGAAGCAGCACGTGCAGCTGCGGAGGAATCATCTCTTCGGGGCTACTGACGTCAGGTCAAAGAGTGACAAGAGCGATGGTGCGCGGCCATGGCGACGGTGATGCTGGTGGGCTGACAGGACGTGGCAGTTGGGAGCAACTTGATGTCCGTGGGAGCACTTCACTTTCTACCCAGCGACGCGTCTGCTCTCAAGAGTCAGGTCGAGGCGCTGCGAGTGACAACAGGCGGGTCATGGTAGTTGCAGATGAACGGGCTGACGGAAGACGCGTATGAAATCCACAAGCTCCACCACGACGAGATGATCGTACGTAGATATGAGTCTATGTGCCAGCCAGACTGACCTCGGTATCTCTCAAGATCAACCCTGTCTACGCATGGAAGAACGCCAGCTGGCGGCCCAAGTACGAAGACCACTTGATCGAGAGCCTTCGAGACATCATCGCCAGCTGCCTGTCTGTCGGTCAGTTCCTGCCCTCTCCTCGCGCTCTTGCTGTCGTGACCTCGTTGGCCAGTGGCGTCGGGAGCAAGTACAGCCTACGGTATGATGGTCGTCCCCTCCCCGCAGGACGAGCCCTGGGTACCCGAGGAGACGTCCAGGCTGCTGGCACTGAAAACCTTCAGGTCCAGTCGCTCCTCCCGGATGGGCCCGCGGCGAACACAGGACTCATCCAAGTGAGTTGATCCCCACCTGACTCCTCCCTCCCTTCTCTCAGACCTTCTGCTTTGTTCTGCTCTGCCCCCCCCTCCCTCCTTTCCCCCTCCCCGTCACCTCTTCCCCTCCCTTCCCCCGCTTGCTTCTTACTGCTCCTTCCTGCCCTGTCCTGCCCTTCTTACCTCTCATCCTTCCCTCTTCTCTCCCCTCCAGCAAGTGCTCTGCTCTGCCCTGCATTCTCCCTTCTCTACTGCACTCGACGTGCAGCACGCATCGCGGAGGCTCCTCGAGCTGACGGGGCGGCGTTAGGTGGGAGACATCGTGGCGGAGATCGGGGGGAGCAGCGTGCGAGGACTGCCGTTCGATCGAGTGACTTCCATCCTGACCTCTTCGTGAGTGGGAGGGAATGGGAGGGAGTAGAGACGACGCTCCTGACTAGCTGTAAGGTGGGGGAGAGGATCCTCGATCGAAGTCGGACTGTTCCGCCCTTCCAACCCGACAGGTAACATAGGAGGAGGAGCGAGCAGCGGGGAGCAGCAGCAGCAGTAGCAGTAGCAGCAGCAGTTGCAGCAGCAGTAGAAGTAGCAGCAGCAGCAGCAGTAGAAGTAGCAGCAGCAGTAGCAGTAGCAAGAGGGGAGGGTGGGAAGGGAAAGAGGGAGGGGAGGGAAGGGAAGGGAGTGTTTGTGTGTTGGGGGCTGGAGAGAGATCAGAAGAGGAGCAGGCTGGAGAAGAAGAGGAGCGGAGAAGGAGGAGGAGGCAACGTTGGTGACTGGAAGCAGGAAATCTTGTCCACGTGAGGATTCCCGGCACTGTCCAGAGGCACTCGCTGTACCGGGTACGTCCTTGTGTGCTGTAGGGATGAGCGGGAGAGGGAGGAGGGATGAGCATGGGGAGGGGGAGAGACGAAGTGGGTAAGGCCATGAGCTGAAATCAGGAAATAGGACGAGGTGGGTTGAGCATCTTGAGAGAGGTAGAAGAAAGGGGAGGGAATGTCAAGACAGTTAGAGGAAAGGAGGAAAGAGATTTCAAGTGAAAGCTTCTGACAACTGAACTCGACAGGCTTTGTGAAAGTCATGGTTTCATTAAATCTTACTTACAAGTCTTTGATTATCTTATGTCTTACTGCTATGTAACAAGAAGTTGTTGCTGCTCAACTAGAATCGCTGGCTCTGCACGACCAACGGGTTGTTATTTACACTCGAAATGAATCCGGCCGAACGGTCGAAGGAGGAGGAAGAGGACAAAATTCCCTGTTGCGGTTGGTGCATCCCCATTGCCGGCGCGGAACTCTTGGGGTTGTTGTACTGGTTGTAGGATATGCACAGATCAGCAAACGCCGGGGAGGAGTTGGCCCCAGTTTGACCAACATGCTGCTGCTGCTGTGTGCCGGCCTGTCGCAGCTGCTGGTTAAGGAGGAGGCGAATGTGTTCCTGCAGGAGCTGGTTCTGCCGCATCTGCTCCTGAAGCATGTTGTTCCTGGCCAGTGACAAGTTGTCGAAGAGGTTGTTCACGTTGTTCCCCATCAGCGGCACATTGAAGTTGTCTCGAGGGTTGGCAGGAGCAGTTGTGTTGGCGTCCCAGGAGAGCGAGCCATGGAGACTGGCGCAGGAGGAGTGGCTACTGGCGATGTCCGCCCTGCCCATGGGGAGGGAGTTGAAGTTGAGTTGCTGGAAGATCCTGCTCGGGTCCTGCTTGATCGCTGCCTCTCCTCCAAGACCTCCGAGGAAGTGGGGCTGCATGTGCTGCTTGCTGGAGTTGAGGTCGTCCATGCACTGGCTCTTGGAGGGAAGGAACTGCGACACAGCAGCGCTCTGGAACAGGTTGGCCTTAGCATGCTCATTCATATTCTTGCCACCGCCCACAATGGAAGCATCGACCATTGTGGCGATCACGAGGGGATGCCTTTCCAGGTCGGACATGCGACGAGACGACGCGTCCATGCTGCCGAGCGTAGGAGAGGTCAAGGAGGAAGAAGAAAGAGGCTTCTCCGCCATCTCGTTCGCCTGCATCTTCTGCTTCTTGCGAGCACGCCCAGCATTGGGCTGCCAGGCATCGTGGAACTTGGAAACCACCTCGAGGAAACGGTCGACGGAGCAAACTTTAGCGACCTGAGGGAAGCGCTCGACGAGGTGCCTCCACCCTTGCATCAGCTCCTCCCTGTCTCGAGGGTTCGACGGGTCCTTCCACACCCGCATGCTGAACAGATACATGCCTGCCCCGAGTGGATCCACCCGCTTCGTGAGTGCGTTCACGCGTCGATCTCGCTCCCTTCGGAACCCCCCGGCCTGCACGGCCTTGTTGAACTCGGCTTCTTGCAGCCCGTATCTGCTCGTTCCTCCGTCTGTCTTCACGCAGGAGGGAAAACACTCTGAGAGTGCTGCGTACAAGGAGAATGGCCTGGAGTAATGTAAGCGACAATGCCTCCATGACAAGATCAAAACTCACCCACTGCGCGCAACCATGTCATTGATGTTGTCGGTAGGAGAGCAGACAGTGTGCGCAAACTGCCTAGCAAGCTCCTTGTTTTCAGCTGACGCCGATGTTCGACCCATTGATGCTGACTACCCTTGAGGTGCTGCGAGCTTGAACGAGAGAAGAGAAGGAAGACGTGCAATCGTTGAGGTTGGCAGGAAGGAGGGAGGGGAGGACGTGGGAGAGGAATAGAGAGGAGGCAGGTAGAGGCTGGTGGTGTAGGAGGCAGGTAGAGGATGGGTTGTAGTGGCGGACGGAGAGCGGGGAAGGGGAAACTACTCTAATTGCTCCACGGAGCAGGACGCAGAATCTTTGAAAGGGGTGGGGTCCTTGAAAAGGGGTAAAGGTGGTACGTGGGGTGGTCCCTAGTCACGGGAGTGTATCGAAGAGGGTACACTGGGGGTGGGGATGGATCAGTGAAGTAGAAATTCTCATTTGTTGGGGTACGCATGAACGGGGGTACTGAATTTCTGCTATTCCATCGGACTACACGAAAATGTATATGAGATGAATTAGAAAATGGTAGACCTATCGATAGACAAAATAAAGGATCTGACAGATGGTACTTAAGGAGGGGGTGAGTCATTTACGTTTTCATCACTACGGGGTCCTGAACACAAAGGCCTTAGCAGGCGTTGCATTAGGGTGGGTAGTCACAAGTAAATTGGGCTCTTGGGGGTGGGGTAATCATGATTGATAGAGTCCTTGTGTCCATGGGGGTGGGTGGTACTTTGGTATGACTATGGAATACGGGGGTACTTTGATGGAAAATGGGGGGTGTTCTAGGGAAGAGGGGTGGGGTATCTGTTTGCAGGCGCTAGGAGGTACCATGAGATATCGGTGATCGGGTCACGGCAACATGTGTACACAGCACGGGTACTCGAAACCCACATAACATTTCCGACAGGGTACTCCCAGTCAGGATTTTTAATCAATATGTGGACAATTTTTAAACTTTTGACCATATCAATTGATTTATTGTCAGAATATTTTGTTTAATCGAAATGATCGATGCACAAAAATCTCAAATTGAGCAACCCTACCCCCTGGGGGCCAAAAACGCGCGGGCAGCCCAGACGGCCGGATGCTGACACCCTGGTCGGAGCTCCGTGAGAGACCAGCCACACAAAGGCGATTACGGACAGGTTGAAAGACTATCATAGATTTTGAATGTTTATAAGAAATGTTGGATAAATTACAGACAAAATATCTGAAGATTTGAAGCGATTTACTGGATCCTAACAAGTACCGTCATCTTGCCCAAAGCGATGTCAGCCAGGCTCTGTAGTAAATGAAAGTCGACCAGCTCTTGGAGGAAATATCGCAACGTTCCAAACCTGATCCCGAGAATCCGCCGGATCGTTGCGATGTTGAGACGCAGCTGCTGACAGGCCCCTCTTCCCCTCCGTGACTCCAAGACTTACTAGCGTCTCTTCGGTGCTTTACCACCTGTTTTCACGTCAGCAAGGCAGTTTGCTTATGCCGTATCCATTCCTACGACCATCAAGTTGCCCGACAAAGGACCCCTCCTTTGTCAGTCATACCAGGGGTGCGCATTTTGGCATGACGGGGTCCTCGGCCAAATCGAGTTTTTAGGCATCAGCATGTTACGATTCTTCAAGAACCCCCTATTTTACCCGGAAAGTAGGGGGTTGTGATCCTCTGATACTGGCTGCAGCTCAAGTCTTGTCAGGACGTCGGAGGGTCCGGGCGGATGATGACGCCCAATCATGCGTGAAAAAGCGACATTTCGTGTATTATCGGGGCCGCACCCCCTGACATCCCTTAGGGGGCAGGAATGCTTTTTAATTCTAAAAGTATCAATATAAGATTCATTTTCTTAAAGAAATTTTGTACCTTGAATGTAGAAGTAACTAAAATATGAGATAAATCGGTACAGAACTGTGTCAGTAAAGCAACTTTTTTTTTCTTTTTTAAAAGGGTCGGCCTCCTGCTTTTCAGCGTCCAAAAACCACACCCTCACCCCGGCCTTCCGTTCGGCCCCCGATTCCCCTTCTCCAAAGGATACCGCATTCATATTAGTTCTGTACCTATAAAATAACTTACCTTGACCACCCTAGTCGCTGGGGCAAGGAGGACAATCGTGGGAGCCGGGAGAGAGGGCTGACCGGAGCTCCGCGGTAGGGCAGCCAGGGCAGCAGCCTCTTTTACTCAATGCGACCTGATGTCCCTCTGTCGAGTAAAAAAGTTTTCAGGCACGATGTATCGGGCCCGCCTCATTTCTCAAGGCGCCGGCCGGGCCCGAGGCAGCCCCCCGGGATCCGCCGAGCCCGTGGCCAGAGCACTGAGATATTGAAAACTTGGAAGATGGTATGAAAGGGGATGTGGGCTCAACAAGCTCTGGCGACTCTTGGGATTTCATGGCGAGAGTCGAGAGGAGAGAGGGGGGGGAGACATGAAGGAGATGGGGGAGGAGGAGACGGAGACCGGGAAGGAGTAGGATCAGGAGAAGCGTTCTCAGCGGGAGCAGGAGCAGGAGCAGGAGCAGGAGCGGGAGCAGGAGCAGGAGCAGGAGCAGGAGCAGGAGCAGGAGCAGGAGCAGGAGCAGGAAAAACCAAAAAGTCGATTATGATACCATGATACTTGAGAGGTGTCGAGAAAAGTTGAATGAACAAAAGCTTTAAATCATGGATATTCATATTGACGATGATGGCGATGGCAATGATGAGGAGAACAGTGACAATGCTGATGTGCCTGCTGAGTTTTATGATGAACGGTAAACATGGAGATTTTGCTGTACGTGAAACGAGACAGCGATGAAGTTGCAGAAAGTAGAATAATGAAGGAAGAGAGGAAGGTTTTCAAACTCAATTATTCTTCTGACTCGCGTATCATCAGGCAACCATGAGAGCTTCAATCCAAGTGATTGTGAGAGTTGATAAGTCGTTAACTCGTCGTCTCTCACGCAACATGCAGGGGAGCCTTGCCATCTTCGCGGTTGCCGCCGTACTAGTTCTGCTCTGTGCCAGGAATGGAGGGGGCTGGCAGACATCGCTGAGCTCGGACGACTCCCCTGCAAGGTGAGTGATGGTGCCATGGCGAGAGGAGGTAACGATGGGAGCGACAGGTCTGCAAGGAAGTGGGCGGCTGAAGTGTTCGCCTCTCGGGATGACGCCTTTGCTTCTCGCCCCTCCAATGATGTTATTACATCTCATCGAGTGAAGGTGAGGAGGAGGAGGGGGAGGAGGGGGAGGAGGGGGAGGGGGGGACGCTAGAGACTTGAGGGTTACGACAAGAGAAGGAGATGATACAATCTGCTGAGCTCACAGCAGACGCCCACGTTCTCTGACGTGTCGAGCGAGCGAGCATCTCGATCCACCCCACAGCTCTCAGAGCATACCAGGAGGTAGAGGACGAGTCGACTGCTCCTCCTCCCTGACCAGTCGAACAGATCCCGACGCTCCTCCCGCCACCCTCATCCTCCCAGCGTTGATGCCGGGCATGAATTTTTCAGCTTTGCGCTCTCCGAGCTCGGTGATGCTGAAGGGAGCGAGCGAGGTCTGTGCTGATGTAGATGTGGCCAGGACAAGCTCCGAACATCAACAAACTCCGAAGAAGCTTTCATGCTTCCAAGGCACAGCCGGTGGTGATGAAAGCTGGTGAGGCGAGGAGGAGCAGGGGAGTGGGAGAGGGATGGGTTGATCATGAGAGGAGGGAGGAAGGGGGAGTGGGAGAGGGAGCGGATGTATGTGACCCAGCCAAGCAGAGAATGAGGATGGAAACCCTCGTATGTCGCAGTTGAGTGCTGTGTACGACAGCAGGTGAGAGGTGGAGGGGGGGGAGGAGATTGAAGAAGTGGAGGGGAGGAGGAGGGAGAAGAGGAGGAGGAGGAGCAGGAGGAGAGGGGATGCTAACATCGAGCAGGAAACGATTGTCGCACAAATATTCTCTTGCTCCGGAATCAAGGGAGAGCGGAGGTGAGGATCCCTTTCTTTCCCTTCATCTGCACCCCTTCTGCCTCCTTTTTGCTTTTTCCTGTTTCGTTTGCCATCACCGTCACCATATTTCCCTTCCTCTCACTTCTATTCCCGTCTCCTCCTCATCTTTATCTCCTCCACTTTATCTCCTCCTCTTTATCTCCTCTTTATCTCCTCCTCTTTATCTCCTCCTGTTTATCTCCTCCTGTTTATCTCCTCCTTGCCTTTTTCCCTCCTGTTCAATCCTTTCTTCTGTCCATTCCTTCCCTTCTCCTCCTCTGCCTTCCTCCTCTTTCCTTTCCTTCCTCTGATTCTTAGCTACAGGAGAAAAGGCCTACGACTTTGCAAGGAGCCTGGCGCAAGCAAAGACAGTGGAGGCAAACAAGGTGGAGAGAAGGATAGAAGAGAAGAGAGGATGGGGCAGGAAACGGGAAGTAGAAGGGAGGGATGGGAAGTAGGAGGGAGGGATGAGGAGGAAGAGGAGACCGAATCTCTGAATTGATTGTGATACAAGCGGGAGGAGAAGAGAAATAATCGTCGTCATCATCAAGATATGTTTGGAATCCCTGAAGGCAGAGAGGAGGTGAGACTAATCATAGAGTCGAGGAGGAGGAGTGGAAGGAAGAGGAGGGAGAAAAGAAGAGGAGGGGGGAGAAGAGGAGGAGGAGGAGAGGAGGGAGGTTGGGAGAGGGAAGGAAGGGAAGGAGATCTGATTTCGTCTGCAAAGGGAATCAAGCTTAGCAATCATCATCCCAATGAGGTGAAATTCTGACTGAAATCGTGTTCATAACTTTCCATCTCTCTACTCCCTTCCCTCTCCCTTGCCTGCTCCTACTCCTCCTCCTCCTCCTCCTGCCCCTCCCTCCCTCCCTCCCTCCCTCCTCCCTTCCCTCTCCCTTTCCTCCTCCTCCTCCTACTCCTGCTCCTCCCTCACTCCCTCCCTCCTCACTCCTCTAGTATCCTTCGCTTTTTTTGGCATTTGCTGCTGCTCCTGATCTGACCTCTTCCTCCAGCAACGGACGATGGGAATTTCTTCTCGCGAGGCTCAGGACGGTGAGCCGAAGGGCAGAAGGGAGCGAGGCGAGCAGGAGGAGGGGAGAGAAGCATGTCTATCGGGACGAGGAAGAGGACGAGGACGAGGACGAGGACGAGGACGAGGAGCAGCAGCAGCAGCAGCAGCAGAATTATCTGAACTGATGATGTTTGCAGACATCTCCAACTACTTCAACAAGTTGGTTTCCTCGGCGAGAGAAGCCAAACATGTGAGAAGATGAGGAGGAGGAGGAGGAGAGGGAGAAAACTGATGTTGATACAGCATCCTGCATCTCATCGATACTTCGAGACTAAGGATGCGAGAAAAGAGAGCCTTGCGCAAGTCCCCTCCAATGTACGATGAAACTGATGATTTTGATGTTGTGAACTATGATGATAAAGGAGATGATTGTGATGGAGATGATGATTTTGATGTTGTTAATGGTGATGATCATGATGACGACGATAGTGATGAGATGATGGATTCTGAACAAACATGAACATGAGCATGATAATGATGCAAAGATTTTCTCTGACTTCAATGTTCAAGTCACCTGTTCTAGCCGACAACCTTCACATCAATGAGTACAAGGTCTCTACCACTTTTTCATCCTCCCCCTCCCCTTTCCTCCTCCTCCTCCCTCTCTCTCGTCTCTCTCCTC